GACTCTTTCGACTCTTTCTCGCACTCACCACTGCTGTGACACGCAATACTGAACAAACATCATCATCACACCGCCAGCGCCGCCACCTTCGAGAGGAGAGAGAGGGGGGGGGCATGGTAAATAGCGTTCACGGTGGCTCCTAAGAGCGAGAGAGGTGGCCGTACCCGACCCGCCCGCTCCTCGCGAGGGTTGGGCGGCGGGGTGGGGCGCGCCTCAGCAGCTGCAAGGTGAGAAACCAGCACAACCAAAAACTTTACGATTGATTTCCGTTTTCATCCGCCGCAGCATGAAGACACACATCCCGCACTTGTCTTAGTGCGGAGCTAGCTGGCGGGAGGGCGCTGGATCGGCCGTGCGGGGGGCTGCTGGCCAGGGTCGGTCGGGCGTGGGACGTGTTTTCCCGTCGCGTTTTATTTTCGTTCCCTCGTGGCAAGAGGTGCTGCTGCGAATGCGGCCGGCTCTGTTCGTGGGTGGAGGCACCAGCGTGACGATAACTGGTATTCTCAGCACACACACCGCCGCCATGCGGCGTCCTTTTGTGTTCAAGAGGAGAACCTTGAGCCTTCGCTCGAGAGTCAGACAGATAGGGAGATCCCCTCTCTGTGTAGCGACGTCCTGCTTTCTCGAGCCTCGGTTTTACCACCGATCCCACACAAACTCCCATGCCTCGAGCGTAAGTTCTGTGCTGTGTGAGCCCCGGTCCGAAAGCCAAAGCAGCGGCGCAATCATGTCGTCTGCCGCTCTAAGTTGCACTTAAACTGACTTGCACTTTGAGTAAGTGAGTGCTTCCCAAGCACGACCGTTCTCGCTTGCTCGCTCTCTCCCCGCATTCACAAAGCTGTTTTACACGCGGGGGGCGTCGTATTCCTGTTGATGATGTATCTGGCGTGGCTAATCGAACCTGACCCCGATGGTTGCGGACATCCCAGCAGGTCTCCACTCCCAGGATAGCGTCGTTGGGCAGAGGATGATGGTGCAAAATAACAGCACCCCCTTTCATATCCGTGCCCTTCTCTCGGGTGCCGAAGCCAGCGGTCAACAGCTACTGCTGTAGAAGCCAAGCACTTGACGATAGACAAACCCTGATCTCGTATCATTATCCTCGATCGCGGGAATATGGCCGCGGCAGCACGAAACCCTCCTTAATATCTAGATATCTACAAAATGTGCATCTCGTTGTGTACTGCTGCACGCTGTCTGGTTTCTGCTCGAAGCTGGGTGCACTACATATCATGTGATGCAATCTGTCTGTTCAAGTCTTCGAAGTCTACACCTGATGACGCGTGGCTCGCTCCCGACCACTTGTTCAAGAGAGTCCCCTCCAGGAAAGACCTACGGAACTAAATAGTCCCATTACATCCGTCGAGTTGGATATGTTTGTGCCCCTTGTGTTCGATGGTGGTAGGTTATCCGGCGGGTGGTGTTGATGAATTTGGCCTTGGCATGTAGTTGAACACGACAACACGATACAGGTAAAAATACCGCCACAGGGTTGATTTGATACTTGTACATGCCACCCGTTTTGACGTCCGTCTACAACGAGGAACGGCATCACCTATGGATCCTCCCCCCCCTGACATTATCTGGCCCCGCCTTTGTCACCATGCTGAAAGTGCTTGCAATGGTGTGTCCGTCGTTCATCTCACTGTTGTAATTATCTCACCTCCGCCATATCTTGGTCACAGGCAGGGAGAATTCACCCACCCGCCTACAGCAGTACGCCCTCTATTTAGCATCTCATCCCCCGGAACAGCAAAAAGTCTGGAAATACCGTACCGTATGACAGCAGTGTACCAGTTTTTGTTGGGGTTGGGAGGCTCGCCGCTGGTTTGGCCTTCATGTAGCGAGCAGGCGCCACTGGAAACAAGTCCCCCCGGTAAACGTCGTAGTCAGAAAAGAAGCGCTCTTGTTGCTTATTCCGAAAGTTGTGGCACGATGTAGTCTTGTACATGGAAACGAAGCTGAACTATTCAGGACGACGCCCCGAACTCCCTTTTGTCGAAATCGACACAAGAACTTTATTCTCGAGTATATTTTCTTGTGTGCATCCTCGTCCTGCCCCCGTACCAGTGTAACATCGTCGTACATATTTCCCCGCACTCCCTCCTACAATATTCCGGGTAGTTTATCTGTTGAGATTATGTATACTTTCTACTAATCCACGCTGCTGGACAACATTGCACGGGAACCTCGGTAATGCAGGATGCCCAAGAAGAAGCCGACGAAGGTGTATCGCTATGACGGCCAGAGCATCTGGACTTCCTCCGACTGCGGCTACGCGAGCTACTCGGACTACGAGCTCGGCAGCTTTCTCGGCGGGGGTGCCGCGGGCGTGGTGTACGAGGCCGAGTGCTTCAAGACGAAGAGGGTGAGTGAGATTGGGCAATAGGGGGGAGGGGGGGGGGGCGGTAGCCTTCGCAGAGGTGTTCGTTTGAGCAAACATGTTGGATAAGGCATGTCATCGGGGAAGTTGGGTTAGGGATAGGGTCTGCCTACCCCCTCCCTATGTAATTCCATGTAATCTTAGTTTCTCGCGAGGGCGGCCCGTCCGGGGGGGGGGGAAGGGACGTCGGGGTCAGAAAAAAAGGATGGGTTCCCTTTTGATCTTGTGATTTGTCTTGTGATGATATTTTGTGAACCAGAGTCTTCAGGCTTCGCGTGCGACGGATCGGGGATCAGGAGGGGATCCCCATGTGTGTAATTCGTGTCCAACGTGAAGGGTTTTAAGTTGTCGCGGTCTGTGTGTGTGCGTGTGTGTTTTCGTCCTATTTATTATGGCGACAGTCCCCCCATTTTTCGTGGTGAGGTGTGTACTACACTTTTCAGCGTATGTAGAGTACTACACTTTTCAGTGTATTTTTTTGTACAACTACAACCGTCCAGGGTCACACAGGAAGGGGTAAACACCAGGGCTTTTTAATTATTATTTTTTTTCATGCCCCACCTTCCTCCTGCGGTGCGTGCTGAATTTATATTTTTATCGCGAGAAGGGTCCAGCCGTCCCTTCCCTCGTCAACGGTGCTAACGTCGAAGTTTGGTCCTCACGAGAGCTTTTCAGCTATATTTCGCTTTCACCCGCACATTACGTAAAATTTTCACCCCCTGGGGATTCGAACTCACGACCTCTGCGACTACAATAGCGGATTACGAGGACACCACTAGACCACCGGGGCGACCGGGTCTGGAGAGGCCCGATGGTGAAACGTGAGCCTCCTCAGTGAGGCTTGCTTCTCCGGCCTCTGATGATTTTGCGGCCGTGGCCGTCAGCAGGGCTTGCTGAACGCCCTGCGTACGATTTTGGTTTTTTGCCGGAGCTTGCCGAACCAGCGAACAAAAAAAAAGCTGCTTGAAAATACCCAACCAGCGATCGTACGACTTTTCTCACGTCGTTTTTGTGCCGCCCCGTGTCCCCCAAACACTGCTGTCACAACTGTCCTATCCCCCCGCTTTGCATATGGCTTTGCCTCCGTTGGCCGTGACACCACAGCACCTGGCTGTGAAAGTCCTCAACCCGATCGGCTACAAGCTTGCCCCCAACGGTAGCCTCCGTTTCTGTGAGGTCATCGTCAAGGGCCAGCCTTACGGCGACGTGGGGGGCGGCTTCGGGGGTAGGGGTACCCGGGGCGGGGGGGGGGGGGGGC